CCATCCATCCATCCATCCATCCACCCACCCACCCATCCATTTATCCACCCACCCACCCACCCATCCATCCATCTATCCATCCACCCACCCATCCATCTATCCATTCATCCATCCATCCACCCACCCATCCATCCATCCATCCATCCACCCACCCATCCATCCATCCACCCATCCGTCCATCCATCCATTCAATCCATCCATCCATCCATCCATCCATCCATCCATCCATCCATCCACCTATCTCTTTCTCTACACTTGGCTCTCTTTCCTCTTTCTCTCCCAATAGAAGCATTAATTGTTCACAACACAGCTATACCTTTAGCCGAGAGAATTGTCGCTAACATATGAATTCTACTTCCCTAGAGATGCCTGTTTGTCTGTCTGTCTGTATGTCTGTCTGTTCTGCCTAATTACTCTTGACTGTGACGTACTTTTACTCCTTTATGTAAATCCATATTTAATAATTACTACGTTTTTCTATATGTTAACACCAGCTTATATCATATAATGAGCAATATATATATATATATGTCGTGTCTGTCGTTGCAGATAGTATAGAAGCTATCCCTTCCCTCACCTTCCATCCCCTTCTCCTCCCTTCCCCCTTCCCTCCTCCTCCCCTCCCCCTCCTCAGGCTGCTCATCCGTGTGTTTGACGCACGTTGCTCTGTACGGCAAGCTATCCCTTTCCTCTCCCTCTCCCCCTCCCCTTCCCTCCCCTCCCTTCCCCCTTCCCCTCCCCTCCCCACTCCTCCCCTCTTCCTCCTCTTGCTGCTCTTCCGTGTGTGTGACGCACCCTACTCTCTCGTTGCAGGTCGTACGGCAAACTACCGGACGCTCCCGATGCGGAGAGCATGCAGCACGCGTGTCGACCAGGCGAACAGGACTGCTGTGAGCGGGTCGTCATCAACGTCAGCGGTATGCGCTACGAGACCCAACTGAAAACGCTCAACCTGTTCCCGGACACGCTGCTCGGCAACCCGCATAAGCGCATACGCTACTTCGACCCGTTGCGCAACGAGTACTTCTTCGACCGCAATCGGCCGAGCTTCGACGCGATTCTGTACTATTACCAGAGCGGCGGCCGACTGCGGCGGCCCGTCAACGTGCCTCTAGATGTCTTCACCGAGGAGATACGATTCTACGAGCTCGGCGAGGCGGCGCTGGAGAAGTACCGCGAAGACGAGGGCTTCATCAAAGAAGAGGAGAAGCCGCTGCCGGAGAACGAGCTGCAGAGGAAGATCTGGTGCCTATTGGAGTATCCGGAGACGTCGCAGTGGGCGCGCGTCGTCGCCATCTTCTCCGTCTTCATCATTCTGCTATCGATCGTCATCTTCTGCGTCGAAACGCTGCCGCAGTTCCGCCACTTCAAGACGGAGAAGGGCAACGACAACCGGACGGTGAAGTTCCAGGACGACACCGTGCCGAAGTTCACCGACCCGTTCTTCATCATCGAGACGATCTGCATCATCTGGTTCTCGATGGAGCTGTCGCTGCGATTCGCGACGAGCCCGAGCAAGCTGACGTTCGCGCGCAACATCATGAACGTGATCGACCTGATTGCGATCATTCCCTACTTCGTGACTCTCGGCACGGTGCTCGCCAACGAAGAGAAGAGCAACAGCCAGGCGATGTCGCTCGCCATCCTGCGCGTCATCCGGCTCGTGCGCGTCTTCAGGATTTTCAAGCTGTCGCGCCACTCGAAGGGCCTGCAGATCCTCGGCCAGACGCTCAAGGCGAGCATGAGGGAACTCGGTCTTCTCATATTCTTTCTGCTCATCGGTGTCATTCTGTTCTCGTCGGCCGTGTACTTCGCCGAGCAGGACGACAACCAGACTCACTTCAAGAGCATCCCGGACGCGTTCTGGTGGGCCGTCGTTACTATGACGACGGTCGGCTACGGCGACATGCGGCCGGTCAGCTACGGCGGTAAGATCGTCGGCTCTCTGTGTGCCATCGCTGGCGTGCTCACCATAGCGTTGCCCGTGCCCGTCATCGTGTCAAACTTTAACTACTTCTACCACCGCGAGTCGGACAACACCAACGAGGTGCTGCTGTCGATTGAACCGCAGGTGCCGATCACGCCCGAGGGCTCGCTGGACGGGGGCAGCTGCCCCTACCTGTCCGGCTCGTTCAAGCGCAAGTCGACGTGCAGCAACAGTAGCTCCGACATCATGGAGATGGAAGAGGGACTCAGCTCGGCGCACGAGCCCAAGCAGAAGCAGCCGACGGGCGGGGGTGGAGGCGGCGGTGGCGGCGGAGGCGGCGGCGTCAACGTGTGCAACACGCTGAACGCCAGTCACAATAACGTGAATTCTCTCAGCATCGAGACGGACGTATGACTATATGGTCGGAAGAGCGAGAAGAAGGAATCAGGAGGAGAAAGCAGCGAAAAAGAAGGAGGCGGCGGCGAAGCAGCAGCAGCAGAAGGAGGGGGAGGAGAAGGCGGCGGCGGTGGAGGCGGCACCGCCGGAGGAGGAGGAGAGGTGACGAAGGATGAGCTTCAGGCACTCATCTGAGAGTGTATCCCCTCCTTCTTCTACACAAGGGCAAGTCTGATGTAAAAGCAGAGAGAAATACCGAGATAGGCTGCGATGCCCAGAAGGAAGCCTGAAGGAAATAGGAGAAATGCAGCGAGAGACACACATGGGAAGAGGACTCGAGTCCAGCTGCAACCTCAGACTTACAGAGCCCTTATTACCAAGTGAAACCTAAACTGTGATATGTACTGTGTACAGCATGTACTTTTAAGATGTGCCAATACTGTGTGTGTGTACGAGAGAGAGAGCGAGAGAGAGAGAGTGAAAGAGAGAGAGAGAGCGAGAGAAAGAGAGAGATGCGACGTATACCGAATGCTGGCGAGGGGAGAGCAATAACACTCGAGACAATCAGAGGTGGTTGAAGTCGGAATTGCTAGGGGGAATAAACTTCCGTGTACATATTACAGGCACGTCTTGGCTATCGGGCCGGCGGAATTGTGATCGTAGAATTACCTTCCCAACGTCTCCGTTTCCCTCCCCCGTACCCCTCCCCCCATTCGCAGAGAGAGATAGGAGATAGGAGATAGGAGATAGAGAGATGGACGGAAACCCGTAGATAACCCTACATCAGACGATGTCACGTAGACGAGAACTGGCTAGCTGCGGCGCTCGCAATGTCGCAATGTGGACTGGCGACAGGAGCATTCGCTGACCGTCCGAGGCGACAGACTACGCGCGATGACGTCATTCATCCTCGATGACTTCAAATATCTTCGGTGTGACGTCACCCGCCCGCCTCGGCGCAGCGCTCTCTCACGAAACCGCCGTAGAGCAGTCCCACGCCTGCGCCGGTCGCAACGATGGCCACCGTTCGTGGGCGAACCGCGTGCGCACGCCGAAAAACGAGGTGACAGTCTACCGGCTCTCGTCTCTGTGGTTTGTGATGGATGTGTGTTTGAGACGCAGTAGCGACGCATTTTTCTCTTCTTCTTACGTCTATAAGCGTACTAACTACTATAGAGAGCTTCCGTGCATCTCTTCGGCTGAGGCCATACGTATTCGCGTGACCGTGCACTGCATCGGCGACCTGCGGGAGAACGTAGATGGCCCGGTGGTCACGCGGTGTCGTTCTACTGACATCACATCAAATCGAGCGCGCGTATCTCCTTTCCACATCCTCTCACCTCCCTCGCTCTTCCGATGCTCTTCTACCGCCACTCTCTTCTACTGCCCATCCCGCCACCCTTTCCACTGGGTTTCACCGTCCCCACTGCGCGTCCTCCCACTCCTTCTCCCATACGGTAGCCTCCCACCCCGCTAGAGCTGTTCATTGTCACTCCCCAGCCGACCGCCACCTCCCCCCGCCACTCCGCCAGCATTTGCTCGTGCTCACGAGGGAGTCGAGTTAGACTGGCGCCCATTCCTCGGCCACTCAGCGGCGCGCGGGCGCGGACAAAACGACGTTTCGTCCGACTAGCCGGCCCGAGAGTGTTTGTCAGCTTGTCAGTTGGGAGAGGCTGTGGAGAGAGAGAGAGCGAGGAGGGAGGAGAGAGGAGGAGAGAGGGAATGAGAAAGATGATCGATATCTATAGGGCATCCGCTGCCGCCGCTGCCTGACTGTGCTCGCAGGGAGCGGACATACATACATACATACATACATACATACATACATACATACATACATACATACATACATACATACATACATACATACATACATACATACATACATACATACATGCATACATACATACATACATACATACATCATACATACATACATACATACATACATACATACATACATACATACATACATACATACATACATACATACATACATACATACATACATACATACATACATACATACATACATACATACATACATACATACATACATACATACATACATGCATGCATACATACATACATACATACATACATACATACATACATACATACATACATACATACATACATACACCAAGGCAGGCACCTACCACCGTACGTCGCCGTACGCAGCAAGCACACCCACCACACACTGGCTTCCTCTATGATCATGGGACGCTGGTGAGAGAACGACGCTTCCGTATTGAGCTGCATGCGTCCCCCCACCCCGCGTGGCGCAGTGCTAGATTTCGCTAGAGGACCCCCTTTCCCCCGTCGCGCAAGAAGCACATCCCGTCATGAAGCTCTCTGAGCGATCGGATCTTCCCGACCTTCCCGGCGATGCTTCATTTTCTTTCCTGGCGTCCGGACTGAACAGAAAGAAAAGAAGAAAGAGAGTTAGAGAAGAAAGAAAGAAAGAAGGAGTGTTAGAGAGAAGAGTTAGAAGAAAGAGATAGCTTTAGTGAGAGAGAAGGAGAGCGCGAAAGCAGACGATAGAGCAGCGGCGAGAGATGGAGACAAGAACGAGAGAGAGAGCGCGCAGAGAAGAGAGGCAGAGAGGAAGTGGACGCAGAGAAAGAAGACAGAGAGAAAAAGAAAGCAGAGAGAGAAATAAAGAGAGAGAGAAGGAATTAACACGGCGTGATTTCTCGTTCGATTAAATCTCAGCTCGCGTTGCCATGCGCGCGTGCGTGCGGGCCATGGCGAGCAAACACCAGAGCTCGTAACCTCTACGACGTAATGTTTCATGCAAACCTCTCTCGGCGCCTTATTTGATTACCGCGAGCAGAGAAAGCAAGACTCTGTCTCATCCACGCAAGTCATCGCCTCTTCTCATCCTCATCCTCCTCCTCCGCCGCCTTCTCCTCCCCCTCCTCCTCCTCCGCTTTCTCCTCCTCCTCCTTTTTCTCTCCTACTACTCCTACTCTTCCTCCTCCTCCTCCGCCTTCTCCTCCTCTTCCTTTTCCTCCTCCTCCTTTTTCTCTTCTACTCTTCCTCTTCTTCCTCCTCCTCCTCTTCATCTTCGTCATCCTTCTTCTTCTCCTACTTCTACACCCATTTCTACTCCCACTCCCACTCCCACTCCTACTCCCACTCCCACTCCTACTCCGACTCCCACTCCAACTCCCACTCCCCAGTCTTACCCTCTACCCCTACTCCTACTCCACCCCTAGCCCTAACCCTAACCCTAACCCTAACCCTACCCCTACTCCTACTCCTACCCCTACTCATACCCCTACCCTTAATCCTTATCCAACTCCCACTCCCCACTCCTACCCCCGACCCCTATTCCTACTCATACCCCTACCCCTACTCACATCCCCACTTCTCCTACTCACACCCCCACCCCTACTCCTACTCACACCCCTACCCCTACTCCTACTCACACCCCTACTCACACCCCTACTCACACCCCTACCCCTACTCCTACCCCTACTCCTACTCATACTCCTACCCTTACCCCTACTCCTACCCCTACTCCTTCGCTTCCTTCTACTCCAACTGCTACCGCTCTCTCCCGACGCTACGTCTCCGTGAAAGATTCGCTAATTCGAAGAGCTCGAATTCGCACTCACCGACGCAGGCAGCCGCGAGGCATGCAGGCAGACAGATACGCAGGCATGCTGGCAGACAGATACGCAGGCATGCTGGCAGACAGGCAGCGAGCACTCACTGACGCAAGCAGCCGGGCATGCAGGCAGTCAGCGGTGACAAGCAGTAAAGTCTGCTGCCGACAAGATGCAAAGAGAGAGAGAGAGAGAGAGAGAGAGAGAGAGAGAGGTTCTAGAGTATCTTGATTCCTCGATGACGGTACGCGTTTCAACAGTTGCTGCTCAAGATCGCGTCCACAACTGTGAAAACCTGTCTACTTTAGACATAAGTATATTGACATATATATAATATGGCGCAGAATACCGCTATATCGTAATTTGGCACACGACCGATAAAGTTCAGCTGACGCGTGAGATGCGTTCGCATGATACGGGAAGAGCTAACAATATTTATTAGCTTTTGATGAACCAATATCGATATCGCTTTGAGCTAGAATAGCTGGCAGTAGCCGGTAAATCACCGACGGTAACGCATAGTGTTCGTCGCAACGATCCCCGCTAGTGATAGCAATCAACGTGTTTTTATGATGTGTATATATATATCTATATATATTATATATATATAATCGATAGTGGCGGCCAAGAAATATTAGTTCGCTGTCGACACTCGAATGGGCACTGCTTGCATAGAAGCAACTAATCACGCTACGTATACGTAGGTTACAGCAAGCGAGCACACCCAGGAGCATGATTGCCTGTACAGCGCAATACCCAGTAATTAGCACTCCCTCGCGCATATACCGCCTCGATTCGCGCACGCACGCACGCACGCACGACACGCACACACCACCAGCACACGCAACTACACACCACAACACACACAGCACACAGACACACACACACACCACATCGCGCATGCATGGCAATGGTCCGCACCGACACGCAGCCGCTCGTCAGCACCAGCCGCACGCACGCATTCAAACACGCGCACCCGCACCAGGCACGCACACAGACCGCACATACCCACCCACCACATACAACACACACACACACACACACACACACACACACACACACACACACACACACCAGTAATAAGGCATCGATGGCTGTCCCCTACCTGCTTGACAGCATCCTCCCCGCGTTGCTGCATCAGCTGCCGGTGCCGGGGCGACGCGGACCTGATGGCTGACCATTACCGGAGCGCGGTGCTGAGTGGTGGCATCATCACTGATCATGCGGCGAGACGGTCGGAGGAGCGTCCAGGTGCGTCCGCTGTAGTGTGTTCCCGTCCACTTATCGCAGAGTCGGTGCCGTCTCTCTCGCGTGTGGGCGGCACGTGTGCGCGCAAGATGGCGCGGTCACTCAAATGGCGGCTGGCAGCGTTCTGATGCCAGTTCGAATGGTCTGCCGCGGTCA